AGGCTTAAGATTTTGCTTATTACTTTGGTTTTGTCCTATGTTTTTCAACCCCAAAGCTCATTTTTAAATTTTGGAATAAATATCATTCACCAGAGTTTTGAAATAGATCAGATTATTAGAAATTTCATATTTTTTTTCTTGACCATAACTGGAATTGGTAATTTTGTGCACTTGAGATCAAGGTAGTTATGATATCAGAATCCCAAATCAACATACCCTGTGTAAAGGATTCTTGTGTTCCATTAAAATGGTATTTTATTTCTTTCTGAGTTTTTATTCTCTTTTTTGATTGTACATACATACATATGTTTGACAGGCATAGGGCCTTATATTTTACAAGTATTGCTCTTATCACATATGACACTTCATATTTTTGATAATTTCTTCTGAAATAAAGGTTTACAACTAGATTATAAAATTTTACTGGCTATTCACACTTTAGCCTTTATTACATTTTTGACAGAAAAATAGTAGTTGTTTCAGAAAATAATTCATAAATTGTTCTCTGGACAGTTATACTAAGGTTAAAGCGAAAAAAAAAATTCCCTAAGTCAACAATTACAGAGTATTCTTGTGGCTACCTACACTGAGATTTATAAGCAAGAACAATTAAGCACTGTTATTTTTTCTTTTTTTTTTAAAATAGGAACCATCCTTTTAATGCATACATTTATTAATCAAACAAATGCTTACTGAGTGTGTGCATATATGCCAGACGCTATGTCCTTAGAAAGTATATATATATAAACAAAAATACATGTCATGTTACCCTGTATTCACATCCATTATTAAGGCTTAAATAAATTACCTAGAGATGCACCCACATAAATGATAACTAGTGATTTCACCAATGGATGAACATTTTAGTGAAATACCAAAGTTTTTCTTAGTATGCCCCTATAAAAAAGAATAACAATAATAACTTTAGGTAGGTTTAGAATTTTGGGTACTTATAAGTCAATTATCTGGATTATTTTTTACTTCTTTTTGTATATACCTTAAGTCTTTGTTAAAGTAAGGGAGAAGATGGATTAAGGAACTATACATCTTCTTTTTTCCTTTCTCATTTTTTTCACTAACATGTCGTGATCAAATGAAGGGCAAAGGGCTTTAATTTTTTTCATTGCTCATGTTGGTATTTCAGTTGAGCTAACTACAATGGGGTAGGACTAATGTTGATTCTCTGTGTTAATTATTCTTCATTTCTCAAGGAGTTGGACAAACCATTCTTGGAACTGTCATTCAATGATTCCAAGCTCATATTGACACCATATTTTACATAAACTTAGATATCTCTCTAAAAGATTTTTGATCCAGAAGAGGTGGTGCACTCCTGTAATCCCAGCAGCTCAGGAGGCTGAGGCAGGAGGATCACAAGTTCGAAGATAGCCTCAGCAATTTAGTGAAGCCCTGAGCAACTTAGCAAGACCCTGTCACAAAATTTAAAAAAATAAAAATAAAAGGACTGGGGATGTGTCTCATTTTTTAAGCACACCTGGGTTCGATCACAGATACCAAAAATATTTTTGAAAAGTTTAAAAACAAAGTTTGTTGAAAATTATATCTCTCATGTATTGTCTCAAATTCCTTGAACAATAAAATTTTAAATACTTCAACTGGAAGGTCACTGGTTGGGATCTAAATATTTGTGGGGAGGAAGCATTATACATGCAAGTTTTCTTGACAAAAACATTGTGGCATCTTGGAACACTATGGTCTAATAGAACCTTGTACAATAATGGAAATGTTCTGCTTCTGCTTTCCAACACAGTAGCTATTGAGAACTTAAAATGTGGCTAGTGTAACTAAGAAATGATTTTTCAATTTTATCTAATTTTGATTAATTAAATTTTAAATTCAAATACTCCCTTAGAACGAATCAGTATCATATTGAACAGAGCAGTCATAGAAGAAAGAAGAGTAATAGGAACATTATCCATTAGCTGGGGTTTGTGTGTGTGTGTGTGTGTGTGTGTGTGTGTGTGTGTATACATACACTTCAGTATCACCTTGATAATTAGAAAGTTTTGTGTTTTACTACAATTTCAAATAAATAAAAGACAGTGAGTATGCTATTCTTGAAGTTTTCAACCAACATAAACTTGCCTGCATTTGCATGGCAAAGCAAAGCCCAACTCAAAATTTGGGCAAACACAGGATTAATTTTTTTAAATATGAGCAGGAAATACATAAACATAACTTCAGAACCTTTACACAATATTTTATGCTATATTTTATATGTTATTTTCCCTTTAACCCAATACCTTATAATCTTTCTTTAGAGCTCTTATTAAAATATTATTTTTTATTAATCTGCTAATATCAATACCATCATTAAGTACTTAGTCATTGATTTGTCTTTCACTTTAGCTAGAATTTAATTCCCATTATGTTAGTAAAATGTTTACTCACCACCATATGTGCCCTGTACTGAGAAGAAGACTCTATGATAGCCATTCAATATTGGCATCTTAAGAATTAACAAAATAGCATTAAGTACTAGAGATTTTTATGAATTTCAATTTAGAAACTATTTTTTCCATCCATGAATGAGACATCTTGATTTGGGCTCACATAAATGCCTTTTGGAATAATATTTCAAAAATAAGTCATCAATTATGATTAATCACTTCTTTGGGTCAATTTTCATAATATATACTGTATTTATATAGGATATTTTGGTCATAAAATTCTACTTTTCTTGAAATATGCCATATTAGAAATAATAGATTCTGGCTTGCTAATTTTTACACTGTAATAGTTAAAACATGAAAAATTTTTCTCTTGTCTATTCAAAGTCAGATTATTTATTGTTTTATATTGACAAAATATAAATGGAATGAATGCTCATTTTTTCTTTTAATTCATGTATTTGACATATAAAATTGTATCATTTAAAAACAATATAATAACAAGTACACATTGTTTAATGCATATAATTTTTTAAATCACAATTTACCAAACTGATGATTTAAATGAATATTTCTGATATGCTACCTTAAATTTCATAATAAGCATCTAATGCTTCTACCACAGCATATTGTAGTTTATTTTTAGAGAGAGAGAGAGCAAGAGAGAGAAGAGAGAGAGATGTTTTTAATATTTATTTTTCAGTTTTCAGTGGACACAACATCCTTATTTTATTTTTATGTGGTGCTGAGGATCGAACCCAGCGCCCTGTGCATGCCAGGCAAGCGTGTTACCACTTGAACCACATCCCCAGCCCAAAGCAGATTGTATTTTTATATGTAATTAAAAGTATAAGTGGATCTGAGTCAAAAAGGGAAAATTTTTAAAGTTTGCAGAAATATCTTTAATTCACAAGAGGAAATAGATATGTGTAGTAGGGTATTATATTAAATTACATATAAGCAAATATAACAATTAAGTAAATTTTTAAAAGATAATGTGGGACTGGGGATATGGTTCAATGGCAGAGTTCTTGCTTAGCATGTGTGAGGCCCTGGCTTCAATCCCCAGAAGTATAAAACATAAATAATGTGATATGGAATATGTTTATAAACTAACAACCTAGATTAACAGTCCCTGAAAACCTGGCATCTTTTATTAACTTCTATTTTATAAGATCTTGTTTAGACAATGGTATAAAAACTATGAAAAAATAAGATGTTTCCCTGTTCTTTTATGACAAAGCACCTAAGTGAAAGATCAGTGTCTGGCACTTGCCATGTGTTATCAACATTTATGTTAAAAATGTATTAATGAATTACAATCATTTACTTATATATTTTTGTTTGTTCATATATATATTCTTAAGTCAGTTATTTGATAGGAAGCTTAAGGTTATTTTCAAGTATTTTCTTCATGCCCTCCAGTGACTTTTATGTTATTAATTTCTATTCAAATGCTTCAAGTAACACTAGTTAGATCTCTCTTTGAGAGCCAGCCAGCATTACTCAGTCAGCTGGCAAGATTTCTATTTGTGCAGGGTTCATCTTACTATAGTTCAGAGATAGGACTCTTTTTTTTGACAGGCCCATATTTTGACTTCATGGGCATAAAGAGAAAATAGGTAGTGCCCCATACTACCTTTTTCAATGTGATATTTCAGCATGTGAGTTTTTGTCCATTGTATTTTTTATTAAGATTTAATACAATAATATTTAATTATTAATTCCCAAGATAATTTCATTTTTACAATGTTTTTACAGGAAAATAAATGAAAATTTCCATGCACTTTACCCAAGTTTATATTCTAATCAGAGTTTGTATTTTTCCTTTATCTGCCAAAGGTTTTAACTACATTTATATGTTATGTATGCTATTGCCTTGGCTGACTATGTTATACTTTCTGGTTTCTTTTGGTCATGAAAAGGTATCTTAAACAACTGAATTCAAGTGTAAAAAAAGTTTTAATTCAGTTGGATTGATCATGGGTAATTCACATCTAGCTTCATTTATCATGTGCAGTTTAGTGACAATTCTTTTTAAAATTCTATACAAGTTGGGCTGGGGATGTGACCAAGCAGTAGCGCACTTGCCTGGCATGCAAGCGGCCCAGGTTCCATCCTCAGAAACACATACAAACAAAGATGTTGTGTCTGCCGAAAACTAAAAAGAAAATAAAAATAAATATTAAAAAATTCTCTCTCTTTAAAAAAAAAATTCTATACAAGTTTTCCTTTTGAAAATTTCAATAGTTTGTATAAATGGATTTCATTTGTTATCATAAAATCTTACAAACTAAAACTCCTCCAGAATATCTTCTAGAACAACTCTTTAATTTTATAAATACCTGCAACTTTTAAACCATTGGCTTGTGGTCATAATATTAGTTTATAAGCAGAGTTGAGACTTAGACCCAAAGTTTTCTAGCACCTATGAACTTATCTTACTATGTCATGTAATTTAAGAAAATGAAAATTGTTCTAATTACATAAAATAACATAATCTGACTTATATATTATAAATATTATTTTGTTAACATGTGTTATTTTGTATTAAATAAGTAAAAGTATATTTCATTATGTGTTTTCCAGGGTCAAAATATTTTTGGGCTTGATGTCATAGAGACACCAGAAGGAGACAAGATGCCACAACTGATTGTTCAAAAGGAGTTAGATAGGGAAGAGAAGGATACCTATGTAATGAAAGTAAAGGTTGAAGATGGTGGCTTTCCTCAACGATCGAGTACTGCTATTTTGCAAGTAAGTGTTGCTGATACAAATGACAACCGCCCTGTATTCAAGGAGAAGGAAATTGAAGTCAGTATACCAGAAAATGCTCCTGTAGGTACTTCAGTGACACAACTCCATGCCACAGATGCTGACATAGGTGAAAATGCCAAGATTCACTTCTATTTCAGCAATCTAGTCTCCAATATTGCCAAGAGATTATTTCACCTTAACACCACCACTGGACTCATCACAGTCAAAGAACCCCTGGATAGAGAAGAATCACCAAGTCATAAGTTACTGGTTTTGGCAAGTGATGGTGGATCAGTGCCAGCAAGAGCAATGGTCCTGGTAAATGTTACAGATATCAATGATAATGTCCCATCAATTGATATAAGATACATTATCAATCCAACCAATGGCACTGTGGTTCTTTCAGAAAATGCTCCACTTAACACCAAAGTTGCTCTCATTACTGTAATGGATAAGGATGCTGACCATAATGGTAGAGTGACATGCTTCACAGATCATGAAGTTCCATTCAGACTAAGGCCAGTATTCAGTAATCAGTTCCTCCTGGAAACTGCTGCATATCTTGACTATGAGTCCACAAGAGAATATGCCATTAAATTACTGGCCGCAGATGCTGGCAAACCTCCTTTGAATCAGTCATCCATGCTTCTCGTCAAAGTGAAAGATGAAAATGACAATGCTCCAGTTTTCACCCAGCCCTTCATAAGTCTTTCTGTTCCTGAGAATAACTCCCCTGGCACACAGTTGACCAAAATAAGTGCAACAGATGCAGACAGTGGACGTAATGCTGAAATCAGCTACCTTCTAGGTACTGATGCCCCATCTGAATTCAACCTGGATCATCGAACAGGCATTCTGACTGCAGTGAAAAAATTAGATAGAGAAAAACAGGAAAAATATTATTTCACTGTTCTAGCAAAAGATAATGGGATGCCACCATTAATGACTAATGCCACAGTCTTAGTAACCGTCCTTGATCAGAATGATAACAGCCCAATTTTCACTCACAATGAGTACAACTTCTATGTCCCAGAAAACCTTCCAAGACATGGCACAGTAGGACTAATCACCGTAACTGATCCTGATTATGGAGAGAATTCTGCAGTCACTCTCTCCATTTTAGATGTGAATGATGACTTCACCATTGACCCACAAACTGGTGTCATTAGGCCAAATATTTCATTTGATCGAGAAAAACAAGAATCTTTCACTTTTTATGTAAAGGCAGAGGATGGTGGTAGGGTATCACGCTCTTCAACTGCAAAAGTAACCATAAATGTAGTTGATGTCAATGACAACAAACCAGTGTTTGTTGTCCCTCCTTCCAACTATTCTTATGAACTGGTTCTCCCATCCACTAATCCAGGCACAGTGGTTTTTAAGGTAGTTGCCATTGACAATGACACTGGAATGAATGCAGAGCTTCGCTACAGCATTGTAGGAGGAAACACAAAGGGACTGTTTGTAATTGACCAAACAACTGGCAACATCACACTGAAGGAGAAATGTGTGGTTGCAGATCTTGGTTTACACAGATTGGTAGTTAAAGCTAAAGACTTAGGACAACCTGATTCTCTCTTCAATGTTGTAATTGTCAATCTGTTTGTGAATGAGACAGTGACCAATGCTACACTCATTCATGAATTGGTGCGCAAAAGCATCGAAGCACCAGCGACCCAAAATATTGAGACAGCTGATACATCCTCACCAACCAGTGACTATGTCAAGATCATGGTTGCCATTGTTGCTGGCACTATAACTGTTATACTAGTGATTTTCATCACTGCTGTAGTAAGATGTCGCCAATCACCACACCTTAAGGCTGCTCAGAAAAACAAGCAGAATTCTGAATGGGTTACTCCAAACCCAGAAAACAGGCAGATGATAATGATGAAGAAAAAGAAGAAGAAGAAGAAGAAGCATGCCCCTAAGAACTTGCTGCTTAACTTTGTCACTATTGAAGAAACAAAGGCAGATGATGCTGACAATGATGGAAACAGTGTCACACTAGACCTTCCCATTGAACTGGAAGAGCAAACCATGGGCAAATACAACTGGGGCACTACGCCTACCACCTTCAAGCCCGAAAGCCCTGATTTGGCCCGCCACTACAAATCTGCCTCTCCACAGCCAGCCTTCCAGATTCAGCCTGAAACACCCCTGAATTCAAAGCACCACATCATCCAGGAACTGCCTCTTGATAACACTTTCGTGGCCTGTGATTCCATCTCCAAGTGTTCCTCCAGCAGTTCTGATCCCTACAGTGTTTCTGAGTGCAGCTATCCAGTGACAACCTTCAAGACCCCTGTGTCTGTACACACCAGACCGGTAGGTAATCCCATTTCTAACTGACCTTTCTAAATTTATGTTCTTCTTATTTTCAGTTGATATAGAACTTTACAGAAACTATTGACCTCCAAGAGGGATCAAAACAATCATATTGTATGGAAACATCCAAATAGATATATGAATTGAATTAAGACTGATAGAAAATCAGAATAAAATGACTGTTGATTATAGGAAAAATGGGTGCAGAATTATGATTATAATAGGGGGGCAGTTTTGTCTGTACATGGAAGTATAATGCTTTATGCTAGAAAATAGACTGGGAAACCTCTATTACAAGGGTTATAGCATTGTCTTCACTAATATTGTGTATTGAGGATCAGAAAGATCTGGGCTAGCTATCATACCATAAAGCTTTTTAGAATCTATTGAACATATTTTAACACTAATGATGTTGGGAATCCCAGTTTCATTTGGAGAAAAGTAATTAAATGGCAGCAAGTTATCCTCCCACCCATATCCCATCATGCCTACACGTCTCCACAATGAAGAATTTGAAGATTAGGAACTCAAAATTATTTTGGTACAATAAATCTATATTCATACAATATAGCAACAATGGGATTATAAAAACGAAGGATGCTCATTCTCAATTTCAAGCCAGCAACTGAAATTTGTATACAATCTCTATTTTAGATAATCAGTTAAATGTGTACATATTTATGCATGGTATTCAGAGCCCTTCAGAAGACATTCTTAAAATTCTTAAAAGATAATGCCTTTGGGCTGGGAATGTGGCTCCAGTGGTAGCACACTTGCCTAACATGTGTGAGGCACTGGGTTCGATTCTGAGCATCACATAAAAATAAAATTGAGATATTGTGTCCACCTAAAACTAAAAAAAAAAAAGAGAGAGATAATGCCTTTTGGGAAATGGAGTAATTTTTCTTTCTCTAATGTGCAGGAAGGGAAATAAGAGAATATAAAGACCCAAGAAATCTGTGCAAAATAATTTAAAATTCAATTCATTTATTAAAACAAGCCTACATACAGTGCTTTTTAAATTCTATATTCCAAAGAACAATGAATACAGTTTTTTCTCAAAGTTCATGAGTATATTAAATCATATAAATATTGTTGTTTTGTTAATAAAGTGATAGAATTTATCTACGTTTTTCTTTCAAAGTCATGCCACATGTTGACTTTATTATTTTGTCTGAGTAGGTCTTAGAAAAGTATTAATCTATTTGAGTAAATAAAGTGATTTGAAAACATATTTAGGTTTAATAAAATGATTGCAATGTGAAAGTCAAAAGAGATTCCCCCTTATCAAAATCTGGAAATATTAAAGAAGTCTACCAGATTCAAGATAATAGTGCAAATAATTTACCATAATTTTGGAAATTGTTTTAAGAATGGAGATCTTTTGAGGATATACATAGTTAAATAATACAATAACTTGAATCTTTCTTTTTTAGTCACAGAAAATGTAAGGTACTAATTCACTTGTGGGTGCATTTTTTCCTAACAGATCCATAATTAATTTGTAAAATAGAACCATAGGCTCTGTGTAGAGTTCCTGTAATGCTTTGAATGAATCTGCAGGCCAGCAGTTATTTTCACAGTTCTGATGATTTCCATGTTTCTCTGCATTTGTTGGAGGACAAACATAGTAGATGCTTGACATCTCCTCAGGTTGTGTTTTTCTTTATGCTTAATGACTCAAAAGGGCACTCTATTTTCTGATTCTTATCCTTATTATTCTCTTATTGAAGACCTTTCTCAACAGTAAGGTATTCATTATTAAAAACACTTTCTTTGATGAACATCCTGATAGAATTTTTTTCTGAGCTAAACCTGTGACTTTCTTAAGACAGTATATAAATGATGTGGTTTGTGAATTACATTTGTGATTTATCTTTTTTAATAGATTGGCTTATGAATTTCGTTAATACAGCAAATTCTGATTTCAACTGTTTACAAAGGTTCAGATATATTTTATGAGCTACACTAATTTTACTTGAGTATATGATCACACAGTAAGGAAGGCATGGATAAATAAAAAATGAAGTATTTTGAAAATATCCATCTTTCCATTTTTTGTTGATAATTTGTAATTCTTAAGAAGTAAATAAAATTAAAAATTCTTTCCCATTATGTCACTATATTTTATACAGTGAAGAGACTTTTTCCTAAACATAGGACAAATAGCTTCATGAGTTAGGTAAAATACTAAAAGCATGTACAACTGTGAATGAGTTGTTGGTCATGGTTAGGTTTCTATTAATTAAAAGCACTAACTTAAAATCAGTGAGTATCAGGTGACATTTGATTTTTTTCACATCTTAAAAATAAATATATTACACATTTTGTCATTGGCTTATAGTTGTCTCATATTAATTAGTAAATATCTTCTCAACATGAATTCATGAACTTAGCGAGATTAATACTATCATTTGAATCTTTATATTTGTGTTACATTTACAATATTCTTTACTCTCCCTATATTCTTCAAGTTGTAATTAACACCAAGAGAGGAATCTTATATTCAATGATATTGCAGAATACTAAAAGAATAATGAAAACTGAAAAAATTACATATTTAAAACTTCAAATACAGCAGGTGTATTCTTTCTAAATAAACATCACACAAAACAGATGGAAGTGTCAGTCAATTGAATAAAAATCTGTTGTTCCTTAAGGAAATTCTGACAGTGAAAATAAAATATTACTGTTAGAGGGAAACAGAAATATTCCAAATTATTTTAAACAAAGTGAGAAAATAAACTTTAAAAAGGAGGTCTTACAGTGATATTTACATTTAGTTCATTACTCATCTGATTAGAAATATGCATGTAGAGTAATAAAACAGCTCTAGTATGATGTAAGATACAAAGAACCTTCCATGAATTTTACATTTTAAAAACGGTATCAAATGCTTTCTTTAGATTTTTCTTTTTTACTGTGGAGCTCAGGAAAAAAAATATGGAACATTCATTATATAGGTGTGCATCCATTGCATGAAGCCGTCTATACCTGGTGAATATGAGCTCCTCTTTGGCATAAGTTTCTATATGTATTATGGAAGGCATTTTTGTATATATAGTAGTAGAAATGTAAAACATGAAATTTAAGGTGATTTCACAGATTAATTTCTATTAACAAATTCCAGAGCAAGCAGATAACACTTGGTTTATATGACCCTAGAAAACCAATAAATAAATATAACTATTTTAGAATCAGTTTTGTTAATTTTCATACAGAAGATATGTATTGGCAAAAACAAGTCTTGCTTAACACAACTGTTCCACTAAAATATGTGAAGACTTTGCATTTAAAAAACAGAGAGAAAGGGGCTGGGATTGTGGCCCAGCAGTAGAGCACTCACCCTGGGTTGTATCCTCAGGACCACATAGAAATGAATAACTAAATAAAATAAAGGTATTAAAAAAACAAAGAGGAGAATAAAAATAAAAGCACCATTTTTGAGGGCCTTCTATATATTAGTTACTGCCTTACACATATATTTGAAGTATTTCATTTTCCCCCTCAAAAAAAAGTTAATTTTTTTTTTGTGATTTGAGTTGAAATAGTTTTTCAATTTCAGAAATAAGGTTAAAAAAGGTAAATCTTTTGGAAAATTATAATTCATGGATGAAATCATGCTGTAGATATGTGATACATCAATTCAAATAATAACAATAATCTTAATTGGCCTGAAATAGGATTAGTATTCACTATGGTTAAGTTCAGTAACTTTGATTAAGTACATCTATATTTTGGTATGTGAATTTAGCCTTGTAGCATGCTTGGCAAATAAGATTCCTAGAACAAAACCATCTGATTTTGATAACATGTTATTTTTCTTGTCCTAGACTGATTCCAGGACATCAACTATTGAAATCTGCAGTGAGATATAACTTTCTAGCAATAACATAATTCTATTAATTTCCCCCCAAATTTAGTGATTTGTGATTTCAAAATTAGACTAAGACTATTAATTTTGTTATCTGGATTTCCCATTATAACAGCAAGCAAAACAAAACTACCTTAAAAAATAATGTCTCAGTAAACCTTACTGGGAACCTGGTAAACACCACAATGATTCTGCTTTGCTTTATTTAGCTGTAAACTGGAAATTTAAATTTAAAATTTATGGAAGAAACAATGCATTACAATATCTGAGTTTTATCATGCTGTTTTTCTGTTTGCTTGCTCTGAATGTCAACAACTGTGATATAATATAATTCTGTCTTGGTGTACACACTGATGGATAATGTATTAGTCATGAAACATGAAATTACTTGCTCTGATTGCAGAAAAGTTTAAATACCTCCAGGAGTTTGGGAGTGATGGTGAACACTCCAAGCTACCCTCTGAAAGGTGTCCAGGGCAAGAGATTATTTTAAGACCAGCAAAGAAACCAACAAAATCAGAAAACTTTTAGTAGAATGTTTTCAAAATATACACTAATATAATATGTTTTTTCTAATAAAACCATTTTATTTACCTACCACTCTGCTTAAAAGTTGGATAATAAAAAATAAACTTTTGGGGTTTTCCTATTGATTATAATTACACAGCTCCACTACTTTAACCATTAAACAGATTATTTTTGTTATCATCATGTTTCCTTTTCCTACAAATATTTTAAAAGAAAGAAGTCCTTGATATTTTCTCTATTGAAAGGAGTATGTAAGGGGCTGAGGATGTGGCTCAAGCGGTAGCGCACTCGCCTGGCATGCATGCGGCCCAGGTTCGATCCTCAGCACCACATACAAACAAAGATGTTGTGTCCGCCAAATATTAAATAATAAGTATTAAAATTCTCTCTCTCTCCCTCTCTCTCACTCTTTCTTTTAAAAAAGAAAGGAGAATGTAAGGTTCTTTATACTCCCTGGTATTTGGGGGAAATGCATTGATATTTCTTGTATTATGAAGCATAACTACAGTCATCTGAGTGTAGAAACAAACATGAGATTAGGTATTTCAAAAGTGATTATATCTTAATTTTGAAACTACCTAGCAAAAAATAAGGCACTAGAGTGACATTAGATTTTTACTTTTCTGACATGAAAATATTGAATAAGTAACATTGCTTTGAGTAATTTGCTTGATAAAATTCACTCACTTTATACAGTATTTCAGTTAACTCATTTCCTACATAAATTAATAAATGCCTCAATTTGGGTATACATTATATGTTATTGAAGAATGACGTGCTTCAATTTTATGCTATGTTCCTTAAATTGCTTTTGACTTACTAACATTACTAACATTTTTTTTTAAAAAAAAACTTCTTAGTACATAAAGGGAGTATAAAGGGCTCTTATAATGATGACATAATATGCTTCCTGAATTTTCATTCAAATTCTCAATTACGTATCATTTCTCCTTGAAAAATATGAGGAGGATATGTTCTGTTATGTATGTATAGTAAAAATAGTGTATTATTTTAAGTGTTCTGCAATGTAAAGATATTTAGAAGACATTAATGCTCTATTTAGCATTTCAAATTGTATAATTCTTGGATATGTGATGTATAGGTAATATTCTAAACAAGTTTCTGCTAAATTTTATGTTCCCATTGACTTGATACAGAATCTTCTGTACCTCCAATGACATCAAATTTATTGAACATATTTTTTTTCTATTTGGCTGTTTAAACATTATGTTATTTATTAAAACAAGTTTGAGTATAACTAGTTATGGTAATAAGAAATGTCATGTAAGGTGCAGTATTATATTAAATGCTATAAACAACTGATGTAGAAAAATACTTACTATTAAAACTTACTCTTGTACAACTTCCTCACATAGAATAACTTTATAGTGCTACCCCATTCCTTCTAGATAAATATTTCAGTTTAATTCAAATCATTCTGAGAAATGTAAAAAATTGACCCAACTTAGTATATTCCTAATATCAGTGCACTGCAGATACTAAGATATACGGGTAGTGAGAGTGTCTAAAATCCATATCTCAATTTAATTGTAAATAACCTGATGAAGCCCAAGAACAGGCCTCCCATAATATCCTACCATGGCTTCATGACCATTTATGTATGCACTTATTAAATAAATGCATTTTAAATGCATGTGTCATGACTATCCTGGTCTCTTCTTTTCTACACACTCTGTGGGTTAAGGAAGAGTATCTCATTTTTTCCTACTTTGGTGACCATTCCTTTATGACCACAATGAGAATAACTCCTAATTGTTTCTTTGTATGTGTAAAGGTGAAAATATATTGAAATTGTTATGTGCAGTTTTTAAAAACCTCTCTTAATGGTTTTATGAGTGTTGTCTTTGCAGATGATGAAAATAAAAAATTTATTTTAAAAATTTATTTATGACTGCATCTCACAGAATGCAGCTTCTGTGAGAAAAGATCTTCTAAAATTATTTCCTTCCAGATCTTTGTTATAAAATATTTACTCATATAAGCCAATGATAATTGACATTTACCAGTATTTAAAATTGAATCATATATGGAAATTGATACAACTTATGACTATGAACTATCCTTGATCTATCCTTTCCTTGTGTCTGAGGGAATATTTACATCTGAGAACAATATGGAAGGCATTGAAACAGTTTTCTACAAAAGATAAATAGGAAAAAACACATATCTCCACACTTAGTTTCATCTTAGCATTTGATTTGGTGGTATATTCAACTGAATTGTCATAATTATTACATGTCTGCCATACACTGTCTCAGATATTTTCCAGTCTTTGTGTTGAAGTTAATGGATTTGTGTAATATTCTCAGTTTAAGTGTCCTTGAAAGTCTCTCTGGTTCTTATTTTAGTCAACAAATAAAGAATAGCAAATCTAAGACTCATCTTCATAAATATATAAAAGTAACTTTTAGTGAACCTGTTCTACTGAATCATAAGTATGCTATTTAATTAGTAAGCTACAATGTACTGTGAAAATTTACAATTCATAACTTGAAAATAGTGAAATACTTTGCCTTATTTTAGTTTAAATAAAAATATTTTCTAAAACTAAGATATTTAAGCCATTTTATTTCTGAAATTATTGTATTCAGGGATAGATGTCTAAAATTTCTAAAACAATTTAAATTCAGTACATTAATCTTTATATGTCTTCTATTTTCTGTTGGCACTCATCCACATTTATCATTAAAAATGCATAAAACTGGGCTGGAATTGTGGCTCAGTGGCAGAGTGTGTGCCTAGCATGTATGAAGCACTGGGTTCAATTTTCAGCACCATGTATCAATAAATAAAATAAATATCCATTGACAACTAAAAAAATATTAAAAAATGCATAAAACAGATTAATTTTTAAAAAGATGATTTTAAATTCACTATTTTGGATAATATTTACTAAGGTTTTAATTTCAATACAAAATACTACTGCCTCATTTTACTAACCTCTTGCACTTTTCACTATTTAACTAGGTTTTATACTAATGTGCCTTGTAGATGTGAAACCTGATCTCAATCAAAATAATACAGGACAATCAGATCCTAAGAAATCTTTTATGAACTAAGCCACACTTCATAAATGCTTACATAGGTGCTCTTGTACAATATACATATTTTTTAAAGATTTTGTGAAGCTTAGTTTTTTTTTTGCTTAAATACTTTGCTTTAGATTTAGTTTTCTAGTATAGTCAAAGGTGCTATGATAACATAGAATTGTGTGCTATATATAATTAGTGGATTTTTTAAAAAGAACTAATGTGCAATTTGTTTTTTTCATGCATTATGGGTGTTCATACATGACATCCATGGTTAATGTGATATTTAGAAAAAGAAGTAGGCTTTTTAAATTCTAGAGTAGCCATAGGCTTTCATTCTTTTATTGCACATGTAATACATACTTGTCATATAAATTTTTAAAAAATGTTGTTAGATTATAGATGAATTTTCATTTTTTTAATTTCTAACTATATCAGTAAGTTCTTTGTAATTTATTTAGTCATTTGGTTTGAAAACTCTTTAACTTTTGAAAGTGGTACATTTTATGTTTACAGAATTATTCTTCAACTTTTGGAATTGGTGCATTTTAAGTTTACAGAATTATTTGTTTTATATTATAAATTATACAGGATTTTTACATAATTTAAAGATTTATTTATTTATTATGAATTTTGTTTATTTTTATAGATGTGTAATTGAGTAAATACATGTAATAGCAGTTGTTTAGTTGATGGTATAGTACACAGGCATTCTACAAATCTCTCCATACATATGAGACTAACCTCTTTTCAGTGAAAACATCACGTTTTCATGAGAAAGCACTTTTTTTTGGTTAAAAAATAGCATCTACATTTCCACTAAAAGTTCCCTTAGCATTAACAACCAATTGATTTATTTCAAGAATTCTCATAACCAACTCTTACCTCTTGTGTATTCTATATATTCTCAATTAAAATAGTTTTAGCTGTTCCTTTTAAAGTGTATAATTATATTAAATTATCCACAATACACTGATACTGTGCAATTAGGAATAAAACTTTTTGACAAGTAAAACAATCACATTTATTTAGATTTAATATATTTAAATTGATATAACAAAAATGAAGTATTTCAATTGTTTTTCTAGAAATATTTTCACGTTTCTCCCTTATTATGGAGCCTTATATTTGTTAATTATTCATTGATTTACTTCATAAGATGTTATTGTTTTTGAAATGCAGTTGACTTTTAAAAGCATCTCACTCTTTTTCTCTTAAAACTTGGCAAAACCAATGCACAACAAAATAATGTTTTCATTAGATACTCAGAGAAAATTTTAAATAATACTGCTTTTACTTGATGGTAGTTAAAAGGAAACAAATCTCAAATTCTGATGAAAAATATTATTTACAAAATTTATACAATAAACTTTAATATTTACTTACTTGTTTAAATCTGTGTCTGATCTAACCTCAATTACAAAATTGATAGAGATCATCATTTCAATAATATAATTGAAAAGAATTGACTGATTGATTCCCTTACACAAAAATATTTCCAGAAAATCAAACATGCTGCTCAAAGACATATTCAGGGTCACAACCTTGAAGTAATTAAAGTTTTAAAATAATTTTGACCTGCTCTTTTGTCATGTAAACACAAACATAATCTCATATTCAAAGGTGGAACAAACATACAAAAATGGAATTTCATGGATTCTGGAAAACTACTTTATGAGCTCCTAAATAAGAGACTATATTTCATTATTTATATACATTTGATCATTTTCTCATTCAAAATTATGTACTATTAACATTCTTTGAAAAACAATTGAGAACCTCATTTGTGATGTTCAGATTAAATAATTATGATTTTTTAACACAAATTCAGTTATTTAAGAGAAGGTGCTGAGTTCTCCTCCAGGTAACTATCATGTTTCTACATGATACCAAAATATCTGGATGCAAAATATAATTTTCACTCTGCCTGGGATATATTGTCAACTCAAGAAATTGTTTAAGTTCATAATGATACAGACCTTAATACTGCAGAACTATATTTTAATAGTTTTATTTTACATAGAATAGTTTGATATAATTATTTCCAAATATAGAATAATTGATAATATTTTAAAAGAAAGTTTCAAATGGTACTACAATTCCACTTTACATGTATAAATATTTGTTGTTTATAAGGCCATATACACATTTATTTCAAAATTTACACAAATTATGGAAATGATAAGGAATATAATATTAAATCTTCCTTGGCTGGAGAATTGAAAGATAACAACATCAAGCCCATGTTTATAAATTGATATATTTGATTGTGGCTCTTTAGGTAAAATTTGTTTTAATATGCTAAGTAGTTTCTAATACAATGGGATCAAAAAGGGTTAGTACCTATATAAGCATACATTTGCATGTTTATTTGTGTTTATAAAGTTTCTAACAGGAAAAAGTGATATAAACTTTAACCTAAAAACATTTTGTTCAAATATCATGCATCTACATTCACAGTGCTACTGGCTCCTTTAAACTGTTGTGCCTCACTCCCAGAGTACAATCATCCTGTATTCTTCATATGATCCTATTTACTCTCTCTGTGTCATTTAGTAAAAATTTCTGTCATACTCAATGCATTATAAATATGTGCTCATGTGTTTTATTCCTTTCAATTAAGATATTTGGCTTTAATATATAAGCTGTATTTAATAAAATTTTTCTGTTTTCAGAATGATCTAAAATCCTCTAATATTAGAATATATATGAAAAAAAAGATCAATCTGCTTTTTTTTTTACTTAAATTTTCAAGTTCTGCTTTTGCACAAAACAAAGAAAAATTTGCATTGTTGATATGTAACTTTTTCTCAGTTGTTATGGCCAAAACATAAAGATAAATGTCTATTAACACTGCCACCTTTATTTTTCATTAACACTTTAATTTTATACCTATGAAAAGCAAAAGAGTCAAGTGGATCTCTGTTCATGCGCTGTACAATGTCAGATTGGCAGTTTCATGCATCTACAATTTTATTGGTTTAATTTATGTTTTCATAAAGGGGTTTTGATATGGATTTACCATCATCCTCTATATCCATATATGTTTGTCTATGTCTTTTAAAACACTCATTTTTGTGATTATCTAAGTGTGGACTATGGGTTGACATACATCAAAGGAATATTTATGAGGATAGGTCCAGATTTCAGATTGGGCAATGCATACAATTCAATGTAATTTCTGTGTTTGAACAGTTAGATCTAAAAATGGCAGCTGAAGAAAAATTATGTATGTTAAAATTGTGAAAATTTAATATACATGAGGATTCATAATGTTTTTAAATTTTTCTTTTTGCTTTGTACTTTGTAGCTATAATTAAAAAGTAAACAGGTTTTGTATGAATATGTTAGAATTAATATTATAGAGCATATTTCAACTGGAATATGTGTAGTTACTAACACCTGATTGTATTTGATGTACTTTCAGTGCATAAAGTGTGTGTAATCTGTATTAAGTGAAATATCTATAAATAAAGTTGTTTCTGCATTGCAATAACACATCTTCTGATATTTTTTGAAGTGCTCATTGTCAGCAGAAGCTAACAATTTTATTAACATCTTCCAGGATCCTAAAATATTTTTAATACAGTAACATCCTACACTCTTCATAATGTACTTCATTATCTAAACTGAATTAAACTGAACTTTATACATTGGCATTCTTATTTACCAACATTGTGAGGTAACTGATCCCTTTTAGTCACACCAAATCAATCAATTAGTTAGTGGTAAATTATACTTACTAAAGTTTTAGTTTTGTGCATTTTATTGTTCTCAGAGTCTTTGAATATTGGTAAAAATTGGTAAAAATATTTATCAAAAGTTGTTATTTGGTAAAACATTACAAATAATGCAGCCATCAGTTCAAACAAGAGTAGAAAAACATTTCTCAATCTTTTACTGTGATAAAGGAAGACATTTTGGAGAATTGGGGTCTATTGGGGTAAGAATATGGGACAATAGCAGTTTTCCCCTTGTTGCTATTAGTAGTGTAAAAAGCCCCTGACAATGAATTTAACTGCAATTATGTTAGAAAATAATCTTTCATTTTTCAGTGCTGAAAAATCTCCAAATATAATGGATCAAGATTTTTAAAAATCACATTAAAATGGCACAATACAAAACTTCAAATTTTGTTACAATAATTAAGAGTGTGTGGTGGTGGTGGTGGTGGTGGTGGTGGTGTGTGTACATTAATATCACTAGTAAATAAGCTGGAAAGTATGCATTAGGTATGAGCAGGCAAGTACATAATCTGTTTCAGTAATCACACTAAAATTAGCAATAATCAGTCATATTCAAGTAGCAATTAAATCTTATTAATCTTACCTCTAAAATACCTCCCACATTTGTCCCTTTGCCACTTTCTTTATGAAGATTTGATCATGAGTTTCCTGTTTTACAACTAACTGGTTGTCTTACTCTGAACTTTCATCTGTCTAATCAATTTTTTACACAGTATCCAAAGTATTCTTTCTGAAACATATACATATGATCAGATGAAGTCTATGGCAGAATATGTCTTGAGTCTTTCTCCATTACATAGAGAATAAAGCTTCAATTAGTGTACATTTCAAGAGACTTTGCAGTCTTAGCCTGGTCTACATTTTCATCCTGTTTCCACCACTGCATGCACTGTATATTTTTAACACATTTCCCTCTGCTCCCTGACAAAACCATGTACTTTGATGCATAAATTGTCACAATTTACTAAAATTACATTGGGTACCTGCTTTAGTTAAGACACTGTTCTGTGAACAACTGGATTAACTAAGCTATGGTCACTGAAGTAGAATTGTAATGGTACAGATAGGGCAAGCATGCAAGTACTTTTTTTTGTTCACATTAGTTATACATGACAGTATAATGCATTTTGACACATCATGCATAAATGGACTATAACTTCTAATTCTTCTAGTTATACATGATGTAGAATCACACTGTTCATGTAATAATATCTGTAAAGTAGGGTAATAATGACCAATTAATTCTACTATTTTTTCTACCCCCATGCCCCCTCCCCTTCCTTCACTCCCCTCTGCCTAACCCAAAGTATCCCTATTGTTCCATAGCTACCCTCCCTTATTTTGAATTAGCATCTGCATATCAGAGGAAGCACTCAGGCTTTGGTTTTAAGAAATTTCAAATAGTTTTAATTACAAAAATACTAGATAAAAATGAATATATATTATTTATTTATTCATTTATTTTATCAAAAATAGAGGAAGTGGGATTTCTTCCACATCTAATTTCTTGGAATTAATCACATATTTTTATGTGTTAATTAATCTTCCTCAGGTAAATGCATAGATTGTACAACCTTTTTTTTTTTTTCTTTCACACAATCTTTAAACGGTAGTTTCTGGAGACTACTCCTAGAAAAAATTTTAAACATTGATTTCAGATATTTTGATTCTTTTTACATTGCCTATTCATGAGTTATAACAAAAAATATCAAATAAAAACTTAAACCCTTTGTTGATCTATATATACTCCATATACATAGGGATAGAAGAACAATATTCTGTTATTAGGCATTTTAGCAAAGGAACCATTCTAGTGCTTCTTTAAAGAAATATATTTCTAGTATGTTCTATCACAAGAAAAAAGTGTTATTGTACTCAATAGAGGAATATTTTCCATAGTGAATCGTCCAAACAGACACTGACACATCTCTTGGTAGAATGTGTTTGTGTATACATAAATTATATCATTGAATTAATGAGATTAAATGGTCACCCAAAATAGAAATCATTTTCTCTTTTCCCCTCTGATTCCATCAAAGTTATCAATTCTGTGGGAAGAGGAACAGAGAGCAAACCATGAAACATCAAATACAGATAGTGCCCATATCGCACCATGGTGGAATTATCTTGAAAGCCAGAATATCTTTATTCAAAAGCCACATATCTCTACTCAAAACTGAGGGGAAAATATATATACACACATATATACATGTATACATATGTGTGTGTCACACACACACACACATATATATGTATATAAAATTTTAGGGAATGCATTTCTTGACATGCATGTTGCAAGCAATATATAGCACCTCCTTCCTAGAAATAGAAGGGATAAAAATAAACCACATTCTTTTTAGTTTAGACTTTTTCTTGTATCCTCATTATGATAAAATGTATTTCTACATTATATACAGGAAATATCCTGGGATACTGGGGTTTTTTAAACTTTATTTGATATATTTATTGTTTTATGTGGTGCTGAGACTCAAACTCAATGCCTAATACATGCTAGGCAATCACTCTACAACTGAGCCACAACCCTAGCCCAGACTGAAGTTTTATTGTAGTTTATATTTCATGTCTTTGCTTGACAGTCTTATATCAGGATGCTGGAACATCAATTTTAGTATAAAACATTTTCATAGTACCTAATGTTTTACAAAATCTACCACTTCACCTCTTTTTGTAAAAGGAATGAACAGCTTCTTAAATTGTAATTAGTGAGGATACCACCCAGATAAGATAAAAGCAGACATTAACATTCTTAAAGTCAGTGGCTGTTTTTCTCAATGCATACACTTTTTATTGGGACATATAACCATTATAAAGAGGAAATAAAGTGTAATATTCAATATAAAGATGAAGTTAAGGACTCAGTAACATGCCAAACAGCAAGAATAATATATTGCTAAATTTCTAATGAACACACTTCCTTCTTATGTTTGTGTGATGTTTTCCATATTTTTGAAGTGTTTCCATCAGGACAGTGGGAGTGTTATCATTCATAAAATTTACCCGTTTACTTTTTGATTTTGACAGAGCCAAAAAATATTTTCTACTGTGTTTGCTTTTTAGAATAATTCTATCTAAAATGAATGTAGCTGAACAACTACTATAACTGTATGCCAAATCTGCCTAACTCTTTCCATACCTCAACTTCATTGTGCTTGTGTGTGAAATTTTACAGTCTATTTTGATTTCATGGAGAAAAATAGCATATCCCTTCTGATATAAAATCCTAAGGGAAAACTCTGAAGAGAGATTTGTCAACATTCCCTTTCTTCTTTAGGTTAGTGTGGCACATACAAATTGCTAGAATCACAGATTCACTGCCACATATGGGCATAAGAAATTCTGGACATACAAAAGGTTTTGAAGCCTTGTCCTCAACACATTAAGAAAACAAACTTTAGGTCAGACTTACCTATTCTCTGGGGAACACTTATGATCCCATATTCACATAGAGACAGATACCTTGATTTTTATCTAATCTCTATTAACCCAATAGAAGTAAAGCACAGTCACCTAAGCACCTTCTGGATAAAGTGGTCTCTTTTACTCTGGAAAACAGGCCTCTGAAAATTCTTTCATATCATACATTTTTATCAGTTTTTCTTAGTACTCTCTCACTTTCTAATGTACTTCAATAGAACCACCTGCACACTCACATTCTCTCATCAGTGGTCTGTCTACTTATCACAATGCAGAAATTCACTGAATAGAGTTTTTTATCTACCCATATAATATAACCTGCAATTCAGAAATATATGTATCTCATATTGAGAGAAATGTAGTTTGCATAGCTAATTCAACAATGTGGTTGAGCCTTGTGAAAAAGAAACTGAGACAGCAAGGGGGTGTTATTACTAAAAAGATCAAAAACCTAACAGGAAAAGAAAAAGAGCTGATAAGAGGCAAATAACAAGAACTATGAATTCCCTCTAAATTTTTCTAAGATTAATCAACCTGTACCGTAGTTTGCCTCTACCTGGTAATGCCTAATATTGGCCTTTGTACACATCACCATTCCTGAAAGTTCACATTTTCATCCCTCCAAAATTTACTCTTTTTTTCTTCTCTGGTAGAAACATCAAATAATCAAATTCCCCCTAAAATTTCCTTTTGTTCAAAGAAATCATGCAGTCAGAAATATCTCTACATAGGCTCTATTTACATACAGATTCATATAATATTAATATATATAATACACATTATAGTATGTAGTACATATGTAAAACATGTCATATGTAATGTTATATATATATATATATATATAAGGAATATATACAATACATCATGTGTCATATAGTTACACATGCATAGAAAATACAAGCACATAATTCATACACATGTAACTTTATATATGTATATTCATATATACATATATAATTTATATATATATATATATATATAACTAAAATTGAGTTAATAGAGATTAAATCTTTTTCCCAATTTAAAAAGTGAGAAGATGAAGATTATATTCTCAAATGGGAGCAAATTTTTGTTTGGGATTTGGATAATTATTTAACTTGAAGTATATTTCAAATACTTTCCAGTCTTCTGGTTATATGATGATGACCAATAAAATTCTTAGGACTATAGTATTTCTCTAAATCTGAATGAGATTTATAGTTTTACCTGTGATCTGCTTCTATTTTAGAGATGAAATGGAACCTTAGAGATCATGTTGTAACCTAGTCTGCCCCTGTTATTTGACAAATGGTAATATCAAGATCCAACAAAA